TCTCTGAAAAAGGAGACTGTTTGGTTTTATAGTTTTAATATGGTTTTATATGTTGTTTTAACGTGATTGGGAAACACCCAGAATTGGGTATAAGACTATAAATGTTTTAAATAAGGAAGGAAGGAAGGAAGGAAGGAAGGAAGGAAGGAAGGAAGGAAGGAAGGAAGGAAGGAATTCTATAGTCAACTTGCTCTTCAGTCTCTACTTAAGTAGAGAGATCTCTGAAGAAATTTCTGGGAGAGATGAAGGAAGATCATTCTGAAACTAAAAGGAAAGAGAGAATAGAAACAATAGCAGAAAATAATTATTCCTTATCAGTTTATCTTCAAATTATATGGGTTTAGCTAGAACTCCCCATCAGAATTTTATGCTTTATTTTAATATGCATATAATTACATGCTGTAAGGCCTCTGAAATTTTAGTAGAGTATCTATCCTTATTGTTTCTAGATATATGCTGGCTACAAATGCTCCGTGGGATTGTGTGGTTCTTTTTGTGTGTGTAATTTGGAGCATTTCCAGACAAAAGTGAGCTGGTGACTCATTGCATATGCTGCCCAGCAATCTTACTTATCTTCTGTAGGAGATTGGCTTTTAAGCTGCTGTTCAAAGTTATGGATGCTAAATACTTCACTGAATCCACTTATAATTGCTGACATTTAACTCCCTAAAATTAAAAAGGGAGTTTTACATTTCCCCTTTTCTTATATTTAATAAAAATGATTTTTAAATTATATTTTGACGCTATCATTTTTTTTCTTAAAAGGAATCAGATTACTGTGAAAAGCTGGGGGGGGGGGATTGCAGCTTTGTGCTGGAGTGGCTGGCCACAGTGTTGGGCTTGAGGCAGCACCCCCCAGTAGTTGGAGCACTGGGGCTGAAGTAGAGATCTGGGTTGGGGCATCCAGCTGAGACTACTGAAGTCTGCTTTAGAACTACCACCGAGGAGTACCACTGTGCATGGCAGCCAAAAAAGGCAGAGATGGTGGTGGTGGTGGGAAAGATAGGTGGAATTGAAGCATCCTTGTGATCTTAACTGTGGACAGGCTGCCAAATGCCAAATTTTGATCACGTGACCAAGGGGTTCTGCAATGGCAATTACTTTGGAGTCCAGGTGTAAGAACCATTCATTCAGCACCACTGTAACTTTGGGTGGTTGCTAAATGAATGGTCATTAAATGAGGACTACCTATACACCCCACAATTTAAATTCTGCCTGAAGAGCTTGCAAACGTTTTTGGAGGGTTTCAGCAGACACATGGACGGAGATGATCACTGACAGTGAACAAGCAAACAAATCTTTATTATAGACAAAGGAGAGTGTTAAAAGGTACAACTGAAAACAGCTAAAAAGTCTTAAATAAAACTAGAATAACACAGGCAATTTTAATAGATGAAATTAAAATATTGCAATTATGGGAGACTTCTCAGCAATTGATGCCCACTTTTCATAATTTCTGCACAATGTTTTGCTACAATCTGAGTTACAAATTATTTACAATCCAAGAAAAGGACAGGCATCTACATTTTGTCATATCGTCCAGGGTACTGATGGAAAAGAGGCAGGATATAGGTGTTACGAATATATGTATAGAAAGTACAATTAAATAACACACATGGCATTATTTCAACGTCTCCAGTTCCTCATGGGCAGACATGTTTCTCAAATGGGATTTTAGAATAACTTCCCTGTAATAATGCAGAAGGCAAAATATTATGTCTTGTTTACAAGGTTAACTGTGAATATTTGGATTTTCAAAAGCTTTTGACAATATTCCCCATTAAAGGCTTTGAGTAAATTTAGCAGTTATGGAATAAGGTAATGTGTCTTTTTATGGATTGCTAAATGGTTACAAAAAGTTAAATGTAGGCATAAATGGGCAATTTTCTCAATAGATATTATTAAGAAGTGGCATTTCTAGAGGATCTGCATTCAGAATGGTGCTTTTAAAACTTCTTATAAATTATCTTCTCTTGGGGTAAGCAGTGTGCTGACCAAATTTCAGGCAATATAAATTCTGTAGACTGATAAAAAACCAAAGCTATTGAAGGACTGCAGAAGGATACCTTTAAACGGGATGAAAGGTGAACCAGTTGATAACACAACTTAATGTAAAGTGATGCACCCTGAGGTAAAACACCCTAACTTCATATATACAGTACGCTGATGAAATCTAAGCTCTCTGAAGACCTTAAGGTTGTAATAGGCAGCCCAATGAACATGCTGATTAAGTATACAGCAGCATTTGGAAAGTAAATGAAAATAAAAATGTTATAATGCTCTCATACAAATTTATTCTATGTCACCATTTGGAATATCTTACTTAACTTTTATCTGTCAAAGACCAAAAAATATAATAATAGCAAAAGCACATTATAATGCACTATAAAAAGCAAAAGCAATATAATGGAGATTGGAGAACTTGATAAGAATAGAATAGAATAGAATAGAATAGAATAGAATAGAATAGTTCATTTGGCCAAGTGTGATTAGACACACAAGGAATTTGTCTCTGGTGTACATACAAAAGAATAAAGTAATAATCATAATAATGATACCAATAAGAGAAGACAGTAGAAAAGATGAGAAGGATAATAGTAATACAGCCTTACTACATGGGTAAATATACTTAGATATAAAAAAGTACTGTGGGAATTAGGTGTTCAGAAGAGTGATGGCATGAGGGAAAAAAACTTTCTTTGTCTAGTTGTTTTGGTATGCAATAGTGGCATCCTGAGGGGAGGAGTTGAAACAGTTTATGTCCAGGATGTGAGGGGTCTGTAGATATTTTCTTAGCCCTCCTTCTGACCCGTGCAGTATACAGTTCCTGAATGGAAGGCAGGCTGGTTGTAATTGTTTTTTCTGCAGTCCTAACTATCCATTGATGTTTGTACATGTCCTCTTTGGTTGCTGTACCAGACAGTTATAGTAGTACATATGACAGACTCTGTAGAACTATATCAGCAGCTTCTGGGGCATTCTGAACTTTCTAAGCTGATGCAGAAAATAGAGTTGAAATTATCCATATAACCCTCTAAAGTAAAAATTATCCACATAACCCTATAAAGTAATAGCCGTAACAGTCAAGAAGAATGCTAACATTGTAATGCTCTTATGCAAATCTATGGCATTTCCGCATCTGGAATACTCTGTATAGTTGTGGTTACATTTGAAAAAGTATATAATAGAGCTGAAAAAATGTAGGAGAATGATCAAAATGGTGAGGCTCAATCATTAGTCTTAAAATGTTTGGGACTGTAGCTTAAAAAAAATGACTGAGATGGAGACAACATCAAACTGATCAATCATGTAACATGAAGTGAGTCTAACTTTAAATAGCTTTCTACATCACCATCTGCTCAAGAAAGATTACCCAAATTGCACCAAGTTTATATCTGATTTTTGATATGCATGTTTTTGTTTCTGTTTAAAACTCATCTACAGTAAACCCTAAAAAACAATTTTTGCAAATACAGTGGGACACTCTGTTATTAAGACCTTACAGGAAACATCTGGATTCTTACTAACAATCAATCTAATGCAGGGGTGTCAAACTTGCAACGTCACTTGACGTGTTGTGATGTATTGTGACTTTTTTGCCATTGCTGGCAATGGGGTGGGCGTGGTTTTGCTATGATGCATCCAGCCAGTGGGCCAGCAGTTTGTCACCCCTGCTCTAATGCTTCTCTAATACATGGTTTTTAAATGTTTTTGAGATTATTTCAAGGCTGCTGGGCTTCGTCTCCAGCATTACCTGGTATGGGCTAAATTATAACAATATGTATGGACTGAAGTACATATTTTTTTTCTTGTAACTATCACTGAAAATTAACAACCTACAGCCCTTTGCTGAGAGATAATATGTAAGGAAATGTTTGAGCAGAATGAAAACAAAAATCTGACCAGAGATAACGAATTCTTTATTTTTTCCAAAGTAAAAGCAAACTAATAATGATGATGATGATGATAATAATAATAATAATAGCTGGAAGAGACCTTGGGGGTCTTCTAGTCCAACCCTCTGCTCAAGCAGGAGACCCTATACCAGGGGTCTTCAAACTTGGCCCTTTTATGACTTGTGGACTTCAACTCCCAGAATTCCTCAGCCAGTGTGCCTGGCTGAGGAATTCTGGGAATTGAAGTCCACAAGTCATAAAAGGGCCCAGTTTGAAGACCCCTGCCCTATACCATTTCAAGCAAATGGCTGTCCAGTCTCTTCTTAAAGACCCCCAGTGATGGAGCACCCACAATTTCTGAAGGCAAGCTGTTCCACTGGCTAATTGTCCTCAGTGTTAGGAAGTTTCTCCTTAATTCCAGGTTCCTTCTCTCCTTAAGTAGCTTCCATCCATTGTTCCTTGTCTTGCCTTCTGGTGCCTTATTTGGAAAATAAGTTCACTTCCCCCCACCCCGTCCCCTCTTCTTTGTGGCAGCAACGTCCATCCCGTTGCCGTGACGGGACCCAAAAAAATTACATTTGATCGAAATGAAACTGAAAGTGAAAAACGCCTCCACAGGCCGCGCAGCTGCCGCACGCTCGCCCTATCCAAAGGCTCCATCTTCCCGCTCTGCCTCTTGCGCCGCGCCCTAGCCACGCCCCACGCGCCCGGCCTTGCCCCGCCTTCAAAAACTGCCAATCAGGGGGCAGCTGCGGCGCCGCCGCCGTCCCGCTCCTTCCCGCTGCAGCGCTGCTTCCTCCGCCGCTTGCCGGATCTGCAAAGGTGGCTTCGGTCGGAGGCTGCGGGCGCGGTTGCGTTCTCACCCCGCGGCATTCGGACAAACCTCTGAAGGAAGCCGGCGTCGCTCACTGTAGTAACATTGGTTACTACCCATTTGGATGGAAGGAAGTCCCCCCCCCCGTCTGAATTCTCTTTATAAACCTTGGGACGAACAGCTGTGAGAGACCCTGTTAAGTTGACTTTCAGGCTTTTGCTGTTCAAGGGATAGAGGAGCAAAAGTATCTCGTTATTTCTGCAAGTTCAGTTGTGATTAAAAAAAAAAAAAGACCATTAGCCAGCTTAGAGCCACTATAAGCAGGAGTCATTGATACTGCAAATAAGCGGGAGACTGGCTGTTTCAAGAACTTTAGATAATACTTTGAAGACAAAGAGGTCTGTACGTTCACCGTCTTTTCAAACGAGGCGTTTTGTGCATTTGTGTGTGTGCTTAAGCTTGTTTTCCTCTGCTGGCGTTTTGTTAATTGTTTCGTTAGATGGCAAATTCAGTATGTGAAATTAAGAGTTAATACTGAGGTGATTGCCACTGGTACTGAGGTGGTTCCATTGTTGTGGATAATCTGCTCCCTTTTTTAGCCTTTAATTGCAATTTTTATTATTTTTTTCTGAATGATGTTTTTGGACGTTAACTGGTTTATTTATATGCCGCCCTAAGTCACTTTTTTGTGAAGTGGATAGCCATATAAACTTGATGAATAAATAAGTCTAAAGAGAAACTTAAGATACTTTGTAATAGTACATTTTAAATGAGAATGTGTTGAAAGTCCAATACTAAACTAATATTTAATGCACGGGCATTGCGCTCACAAAGATTTGTCAGGCCAAGTATAATTGTGAAGATAGTTTGTAGCTAGCTGAACTGGCATATCACAGTCTGGCCTATTTTATTATATTTAACAATACGCTGTGGGGACCTTACCTTGTTGCTTGTTCCACAAATTATGGCTTAAAAGTAATAATAGCTGCATTATTTAATTATTATCAGGCTACACTTGAATTATAAAAGTACTCTGTGTGAATGCACCCTATCATAGTCTTCCTGCTTTCCCCCCTGAAATGTTTCCATTTCTAATTTAGTGGCACAACTTTATCCAACTAAAAGAACCTATACAGGTAGTCCTTGACTTACGACCACAATTGAGCCCAGAATTTATGTTTCTAAGTGAGAAATTTGTTAAGTGAATTTTGCCCCATTTTATGACTTTTCTTGCCACATTTGTTAAGTGAATCACTGCAGTTGCTAAATTAGTGACCTGGTTAAGTGAATCTAACTTCCCTTTTGACTTGGCTTGTCAGAAAGTCACAAAATATAATCAAATGACCCTGGGACACTGCTACCATCATAAATATGAACCAGTTGTCAAGCATCCAAATGTAAATTGAGATCATGGGGATGCTGCAACAGTCATAAGTGTGAAAAGTCATCATAAGTCACTTTTTTCAGTGCCTTTGTAACTCTGAGCAGTCACTAAATGAACTGTTGTAAGTTGAGGACTACCTGTATCAGGTAATGTCATGAGAGGAGGGAATCATGAGAGAAGGGAAGGGATGCCCAAGCATACAGCTTGTTCATATTCTATTAAATCATTCAAGTTATTTTTAAAATCTGTCAGTCTGAAGTTCTGCATATTTTGGTGTTCAACAGAACTATCTCTTTAGCTGATAATAGATGTGATTGTAACAACTCCATTACATATGATTGTGTCAATATAATTGAAATTGTTTATAAACAAGTTCTGTTAAAATGAAAAATAAACATTTAACAATATGTTAAATTTTATACTGGTTTTTCAGGTGGGATGGATTCATCTTCATCAACAAAATTTCTAGATGTAGATGTGAAGGTAACTAATATATACTACAATCGAAAAGAAGTCCTTATAAAATTTCAAGGCCAATTTAACACAGAATGTGAGCTTGATTATCATATATTGCAAAAAGAAATACAGCAAGTACCAAAAGTGAAAGATTCTGTTGCAGTTGGTGAATTCTGTTTAGTCAAAGACTCAGAGGGTGGAGAATGGTACAGAGGAAAAGTAATACAAAAAAGACATAATACCTATGAAGTACATTTTATGGACAATGGGAAAATATTGGCAGTGCCTGAAACTCACCTTGCATCTCCCATTGATGAATTATTTCAACTTCCTCCAAAGATGGTTTATGGGATTTTTGCAAATGTGCTTCCAATTGAAGAAAAATGGACACCCAAAGCTTTTAATTACTTTTCATCTTTGATAGGCTTGCAGATTAAAGGTCATATACAAGCCATTCTGCCAAACCAAATATTTCTTCTTGGCGTGCCCAAAATTGCTACTGATGTGGTTGAATTCAGAGTTGGAAAACTTGTTGATGTAGATACTTTCCGTCTTATTGTTGAAATGTTAACTGAATTTCCACATGAGCCACTTTGTAAACAAATGCCCAATTTATCGCAACAGAAATGTACAAGCCCACGTACTTGTGATGCTGGAACTCAACCAAATATTCCACAAGTTCTAAGAAATCTTCAACCAATTTTGACTGTTGGTGCTGTAGAAAAAGTAAAAATATCAGTAGCAGTTAGCCCCAGTAAGTTTTATTGCCAGTTACTTCGCCAACAGGTACATCTGGATAGATTGACAAGAGACATGTTTTCCTATTACGAATCTATCAGCAGAATAAAACTTCCATCTTGTGACAATTTTGGAGCTCTTTGTGCAGCTAGACAAAAAAACGGTCAGTGGCAGAGAGGAGTAATGCAACAGCTACTTTCTGATAAAGTGAAGGTTTGGTTTATGGATTTTGGCAACCATGAAGTTGTGTCTTCTGAGTATATTTTTAAGCTTCCACCAGAATTTATTTCAGTACCTATGTTTTCATTTCCTTGTGCTTTATCATGTCTTAGTGATCAGGATGGAACAGAAAGAAATGCTCAGCTAGAAGAATTTAAAGACACTCTATTAACACAACAGGCTATTTTGGTCCACATAGATCTGTTCAATAGTAAAGAGCACGTATATTATGTTACATTACATAAATGCACATTAACACAGACAAGTGAAAATCTATCTTGGGAAAATGATGTGGATCCAAAACACAACATGGAAGTCTCTTGTGCAAGTGGGAATGTACAAAATTCTAGTATGAACTTGGCAGAGAAGATTTACAATACTACTCAACTATCAAGTTATTCTTCAAATCAAAAGGATACTCATTTACTGTGCTCCCCTTTAACTGTTCCTTACAAAAGAGCAGAAATGAAAATAGGTTCAGTTTGTGTTGGTTTTGCAGTTTATGTTTTGAATCCATCAAACTTCTGGGTGCAAACAAATGATTTCTTAGATGAGTTTGAAGCTTTAATGAAGAAAATTGAAGATGTGTATGATGGAAATGAAGTCAGTGATAAAATTCTAGAAAACCCAGAGCCTGGAAGACTATGTTGTGCACGATATAGTAAGGATAAGTGTTTTTATAGGGCTGTCATTAGACAAATCATAGACAATAATGTTGATGTTTATTTTTTAGATTTTGGGAACACTGACACAGTGCCACTGTTTGATGTGAAGATTTTGCTTCCAGAGCTTCAAGAATTACCAGCGTTAGCCGTGTGCTGTACACTTGCTAATGCATTTCCAATTGAAGATATATGGATTAAAAAAGAAATAGATTTCTTTAAAACAACCGTGGTTGACAAACTAATCACACTGCATGTCATTGCAAAACAAAAGGAGAATTACATTGTCAGTGTGCAGTGTATGAATGGCTCCAAGCATACTGACGTTCTCAGGCTTATGGTTGAAGCAGGATGTGCAGAATATTGGGAGGTAAAACAAGATTCATTTAAGAAAACAGTAAGGGGCTTTCAACGAAACTGCTCAGAAAAATACAAAAATAGAGAAAGAATAAGTAAAACATCTTTTCAGAAGAATAAAATACTGATACCTAAAACTACTCAGGAGAATAAAACGCTTAATACTCATGTTGTGACAAAAGGGAATGCTACCATTTTTCCACTGTGGAAAAACATACTTTCCAATAAATATGGGCAAATGGTTTGGAAAACAGATGGAGTAGAATGCTATAAAGAGTACAGATTTAAACCAGGTTGTGTATTTGATGTTGTATGTTGTCATATTATTTCACCAGGCAGTTTTTTATGCCAAATACAAAATAAGCTACCTGAGCTAAATAATATGATGGAACAAATTCAGAATTTTTACAACACTCAAAAAAGACCTTATGAAAGTGGAAAGCTTGCCTGTGTTGTGAAATATTCTACAGATGGAAAATGGTACAGAGCTGTTGTACTGAAACATGTATCCAAAATTGAAACTGATGTAATATTTGTAGACTATGGTAACAGGGAAAGAGTTTTGTTGAAAGATCTTCAAGCTATTCATCCAGACTTCCTAATTTTGGAATGTCAAGCATTCAGATGTTGTCTTAATAGTGTCACTGAATCCTTAATATTTGATCCCTATATTTGGACTGCCGAGATATGCAGTGATTTTAAAAAATTTGTTTCATCTGCTAATGAACAACTGATTTGTTCAATTTGTGCCCTGGTTTTTAAGACTCCCAACTATTTATATTACATTGTTGATTTGAAGACTCCATTTACTAGTTTAAGGCAATTTCTCTTTGAAAGTGGCCATGCACAAATTTACGCTTTTGAATGTGCTCAATCTCTTATAACACCATTTTCTCTCTGTAGCTTTTATTATTCATCTTTTAATATGGAAGTTGGAAATGAAGAGAAAGTGTATGTATCCTATATATATAGCCCTACAAAATTCTACTGCCAGTTAAGTAGAAATGCAAATGAGATGGACAAGGTACTTAAAAAGATTTCAGAAATTAGCCAGAAATCAAGCCACGCAATCCAAATAGATACTCACAGTTTATGCATAGCAAAATATTTTGAGGATGGCGTCTTCTACAGAGCTTTAGCATCTCCTGTAGAATCATCAGATTTCTGCCCGGTATATTTTGTGGACTTTGGAAATGAAGAGTTGGTGGCAAAAGAGGAACTGGTTCCTATTCCAAACAGTGCTTCAGAATTAATGTTCACACCTATGCAAGCTATTAAGTGTTACTTATCAGATCTAAAGGATGTTGAAATTCCATCTGAAATAAAAGTATGGTTTGAAAGAAATTATTTGGAAAAAGAGTTGAAGGCCATAATAGTATCTAGAGAATCTGATGGGCAGTTTGGTATGGAATTGTATGATGGAGAACTACAAATAAATGGAAAGATTAAAGACTTACTAAGGCAAAAAAAACATGATCCGATCCCAAAGGATATTAAAAAGGGTTTTACAAAATGTGTTGGGAATAAACATAGGGCTTATAAAATAGAGTTGGATATAGAAAAAAAACAAGTTAAAAGTAACAAAATTGGACAGCAAACAAAAGCAGGCAATGATAAGTTACATGTTAAATATAGAAACGAAATAGTAATTGATCAACAGAAACAGGGTAGTAGACCTGCAAAGTTTCCTTTCACTTTGGATTTTTCAGATGCCATATTGAAAAAAGTTTTGAGATACAGATATGAAAGTACTCACAAAGAACCCAATACTGACACTATTGATCGCCTTTGTGTACAGTCAAAGAAAATTAAAAATGAAAGAACTGGATTACATATGCTAAAATTAAACACTTTAGGACAAGAAAGAAGCAACAAGACTAAGCAAAAGTACACAGATCTTCCTCAACTTGATATTCTTCTAAATTCTAAAGTCTCGGGTTACATTTCTTACGTAGCTAATCTTTCAAGTTTCTATGTTCATCGTTCAGAGGATGAAAATAAAATTGTGCAACTTGCTGAGGAACTGAATAGAGAAACACTGGTAAAAGAGTCAGAAATAGAAACTGAAGTTGAGAAAGATGATGTTGTTTTAGCAAAGTATGAAGGTGATTGTTGCATATACAGAGCTTTAGTCAGAAAAGTCCTAGCTAATAAGTTTTTTGAAGTAGAGTTTATTGATTATGGTAACATAGCAACTGTGAATTCAAAAGATATCTACAAAATTGAAAAGTGTTTACTCAGTTTACCAAGACTCAGCATACATTGCTTCCTTATTAAAGCAAAGTGCTTGTTTTCAAATAAAAACTGGAATACTGATATGGATGCTTATTTTATCAGTGAGGTCAACAATCAGCCAATCATGATTGAGTTTCTACAACAGTATGACCAACAGTGGGAAGTTGACATAATTTGTCATGGAATATCTATATCTGATAAATTAATGGAGAGAGAAATCCTTTTAGGTATAGAGAACATACTTTCATTGAACTTTGACCACAACATGAAACAGCTCCCAACAATAGATTCAGAAACTGTTAGTAATGATCCAGGTAAACAATCAGAAAGTCAAACTTTATGTGAAAGCATTAAAATCAGATCTACTAAGATTGGCTACCAAAATATAAAGCCGGGACAGATGGAAATAGTTGAAATTGGTCATATTTCAAGTAATGGGAACTTCTATGTGAAGTTAACTAAGGATGCACAAACAGTGCTCAATTTAAATGTACTGGTTGCTCAAGAGGTAGAGAACAACTCTTTTATTGCTATGCAAGAAATTAGAGAAGGATTAGAATGTTTAGTAAGATCAAAAGAATCCTTGAGATGGTATCGATCTGAAGTTATTGAAAAATATGTGAAAGAGGAATGTTCGTTGGTTCTTTTTGTGGATGTAGGAAAATATGAAATGGTGTCACTACATGATATACATGTGCTGAGTGAAAAAATAAGGTGTATTCCCAGGAATGCAGTGCTTTGTAAATGGATTTGGATTGGAAATCTAAGTGATTTGTCTTTTGAGGAAATGATGGAGAAGGTAAAATATTGTGAGATAAAGATTATATTTTTAAAATACTTAGAATCTGAGCTTATTTGGGAAGTAGATCTTTTAATAGATGGAATTTTATTTTTGGAATATTGGAGTCAAATATATAACCAAACAAAATTAAACAGACATAACTTATTAGAGACAGATAATGTCAGCAAATTACTTGATATATCAGCCAAGTCAAATTCAATTTCATGGGCACAATTTCAGAAGAATAGATACTATCCTGGATTTGTCACATCAGTCACTGATCCTTCAAACTTCTGTATCCAGTTAGAAGATTCATTTAAAACTCTGAAAGACTTGTTCAAAATGCTCTCTAATCTTCCAGAAAACCTCCCAACTATGCCACAAGAATGTGTAATTCCTGGTGCCTGCTGCTTAATAAAAAATGGATCTAATGAAAATTGGAACAGAGTTGAAGTTTCTGAAGTGCTCAAAGACTCTAGTACATTAATACTTACTTTTATTGATGATGATGGTTTATCATCTCCCTTTCCCATCTCTCATGCCTCTAAGCTGAAGATTGTCCCAGAAAAGCTAGCTAGTTTACCACGATTAACCTATCCTTGCTCATTGTTTGGAGTGACACCTGCTGATGGGAAACATTGGAATGATGAGGCCAGACTTAAAATTCAAGAATTTCTTGGTAGACAAGGTCTCACGTTCCAGTTCAAACAGCCTCATTGTGGACTGAAGCTAGAGGTAGATGTTTTTTGTGAGCAAAATAATGCGGCAGATGTATTGGTTGCTTCTGGTTGTGCTTTGTATTCTAAAACTGCATCCTTTGGATCAGCTAGTTGTGCTGACCTTCAGCCACCAAATTCACATATTGTTTATGATCTGCTCTCCATTCCGAAGATCTCTGAACCAAAGATTGCCATAAATAAAGACAAGAAAGGTCCACGGAATTCAGTTTTGCAATTGAAGTGTGCTGATTTAAAAAAATTAAAAGTGAACAGCTCAAAGAAATTACATGGTAAAAAAAAAGACTCTAGGATGACTTTCTTGCATAGAAGTAAAAGAAATTGTGGAAGTCTGCACAACCAGGATGAGAAATTATTTAATCAACGTTGTGACAAAGAACAACTCAACCAAACGTATTCTACAACCATAACAAAGGCTTCTGATAAGTTGCTTTTGGGCTCCAAGAATGCTCAGATCCAGATTCATGAAGAAAATTGAACATGCGCTCACGAGAAAGGTCAGTTTCAAATGACACTTAAAACAACTGTATAAAATTGTCTTATACTTTGCTTTATATATAACAGGAATGATAAACTGGACTGCCTTTAAGACTAGGAGCAAAAAGAATTATACACTTAACTTTCCTGCATAAACTGCCATAATGCATATTGGAAGGATACTAGTATATTCCGCATATAATGCAGTATGGGTTGCATCAAATCTATATGAGGTTGCACAGTGTGGATATGTGTAGAAAGATAATCTGCCACAGTGTGATTATCTATAGGCAGCCTTTAGGGCTCATGGAGCACACAATTTAGTCCTCTTGGAGGACTATCTATGCTAGGAATTTGACAGCAAAGTAGTGTTCTCCATATTGCTGAGCATTTTGGCAGGTTTCAACCAGAATATCCTGAATTGCTTTCAGCTGGGGAACATAATTTTATAATGGCTTGGTTATAATTATTTTAAAAAGAGGTATTAGAGAATCCCATTTGATGTGGCCATTGGAAATTGTTGAGTAACATCCGGTGTATTTGGATTTGGTATCACCAGAATGCTGATGATGACATTACCTCTTTTACTTCTTTTCTGCTGAAATGCAAGGAAACTTTGCTTCATTTCTGAAGTCAGTAATGGAATGAATGAGTGCAATCTTACAGATGTGCAGATCAGACATTAATGTTATGGTTAGTTGAAAGATAAATGAGAAAATATGGAATTTAGTCAGAAGCTTATTTCATTGGTGTCCAAGAAGACATTAGCATTGCTTGGGCAATTGATTTAGGCTCACTTGTAGAAAAGGGCTATTAAAAGGCTGGAGGGCATTTTCGTTTAGAAATGTTCGTCTTTTTTCATGCATATGAAGACACACATTTATATTGTTGCTATCATGTTTTGTTTGGCCACAGTAAGCCTTTCCTATGCCAGGGCCCCCAAACATGTTGAATTTCAATTCCATTACTTCTTGAATAACAAATGCACTAATTTGGGGAAAGCTCTACAGTCCATGTAGGATGTACATTACTCTATATGTCATGTACAATCTATAGCCCATGTAGAGTGTGCATGACTGTGTAGATTGTACATGACTCTGTATTGTTCGTGTGACTTTGTGGCCTAGTAGAAACTTTATGCATTCATCTCATTGTAGAAGTATAGGCTGTACTTTGGAAACCAGAACTAAAGAATTACAGGTCAGAGATAGATAGATAGATAGACAGACAGACAGACAGACAGATTAAAAAATATAAAAATATGTTGAGACTCTGGAAAGAGTGCAGAAAAGAGCAACAAAAATGATTGGGCTGGAAGAACAGAAATTGGGTATGTCTAGTATAATGAAAAGAAGAACTAGGGATGACATGATAGCACTGTTCCAATATTTGAGGGGCTCCTACAAAGACAAGGGGGTCAAATTATTTTCCAGTAAACCTGGACAAAATATTATGTATATTTTCTTTCTAATATATCTGCTTGGTTTTTTTTTCAGGTTAAAATCAGAGTAAATGGATTATCACAGCTGAGAACTAGTAATGGACAACAGGTCAACTTTCACTTGAAAAATAACGTAGGAACAGTATGCAGAACATATTCTATTTATAAATTTATCATTTATAGAAATCCAGACCAGAGGCCCATAACTGTTAAAAAGTGTAAAAGGTCATTAGTATTCTAGTTAAGTTCCCTTGCTCCCCTGCCATATACTGTACATATATTTTTATGCCTTTTAAAAATCTCTACCGAAGATTGATTTAGCATTGGGATGATGACAGCATGGAAAAAGAAATACTTTGGAATATGATTTTCAGCAAAACTAATCTGTTATCTTCCTGGATAAAGACCATCTTGCAATTGGTGCTAGATTTTTATTATAATGCTAAACTTTGTACTTATATGTAATAATCATTTGGAATTTTGTTTAATTTCAGAAGTGATTAGGAACTATCAGGTATTGAAAAAAATGCAGAAGAATGAAAATCAAGAACATTTGTTCCATATGTTGCTAAGTTTTATGGGGTATGTGAGGCATCCAGTTGTATAGATTGTGTAACTGCCAAATGCTATTCATTTGTTTTTACCAGCCAAAAGCCTGAATTTAAACAAATATAATAGGAAAATAATTTCTTCATTTATACTGACCATTTCAATGTAAGTACATTTCAGTAAAATACAGATTTAGGTATGGACTCCCATATATCTTGGTCATTCCAGTTTTTTTCTACAATGCTCTCTTTTGCTTACTGCCACAAAAAGGCTCCATCTAAATTGCAGAACATATTTTGATGTAGGGCAGATATAAGTCATGGATATTTTATTAATTATATGGAAACTTAATGCTGAGTTCATTTCTACTAATTCTTGCCTGCTTGCAAGAACTATAATTTCATAGTTTAAATCTGTTTTCTTTTGTTACACTTAGTACTTGCGCATTCTCTCACAGTTCTTTTGTTACACTTAGTACTTGCGCATTCTCTCACAGTTCTTTTGTTACACTTAGTACTTGTGCATTCTCTCACAGGAGAGAGAATGAGTGACCGGTAAACTGAAATCATGATTAAAAACCCAGTTAAATCTTATCTGTGCACTAGGATGCTTCGAAGTTGTATATATTTTTATTGCAGGTTGTACTGCATTGAGCCCCAGTAGTGAGGATTTTTCAGTTTTGTTTAGAGGGAAGACCTGCAGCATATTGAAAGAACGTTCTCCTGACAGCTTGAACCTTTCTGTTCGTTTTTTGTTTAACCCTTCACATTTCAACAGTTCTAATAACTACGTTTTGAAACTCATAAGTTGATTTAACTGAATTAGCACATTTGAGTAAAACATGATTAATTTAAATGTCTTAAAAGCGCTACCAAAAGAAAATCAAGCTTCCAATTGGCCCCAGGGCTTGTTGGAAGTAAGTGAAGTATTTCTTCTTGTAAGAGGCAAGAACAGCAGGAGTTATCTTTTTTTATATTTATATGAAACCAAATGGGATGCTCGTGTAAAATTCAAATTATTTTCAAAAAGACAGCGTCGTATGTATAACTACTGATGAGTACTTGTGAGAAAACATATCTTGTGGTTATCTAATGTAAATAGGAGTTTTGCTAAGCGCAATGAAAAAAAGATGTGTTTGGATATTTCATGATGTTTATAAAGTTCACTGTGTTTTTCTTTAAATAAAATTCTTATTAAGCAGCAATAAAGTGGTGGTACAAGTTTAACACAGCCACAGTGAAGCTGTAGGAAAAGCTACATTTGTCTGATGTTTTCTCATAGCAGATTCCAGTTGGCGGAAGCTTTTGTTGGAGAGTGAGAGAATATTAAATATATATTTCTGAAATCAATATTTTGCTTTTCTGTGGGGATTAAGGTGGGATTCTTTTCGGGTGCCAGGCCCCATTGTACAATTCTCCTCCCCTCACCAATTCACCCTACATCCTAGGTCAGGGGTAGGCAACCTTGGCTCTTTTATGACTCGTGGACTTCAACTCCCAGAATTCCTGAGCCAGCCATGCTGAGGGGAAAGGGAGAGGTTTCCAAGCTGAGCCATGCTGGCTCAGGAATTCTGGGAGTTGAAGTCCACGAGTCATAAAAGCCAAGGTTGCCTACCCCTGTCCTAGGTTATTCTTTTCCTTTTTTAAATTAAATGTTAAGGACCCATAGATGCCATGGCTTTGTGGGGCATGTTACTGATCTTGATATTTTTTGTTGCTAAATGAGACATTTGTTAAGTGAGTTTTCCCCATTTCTTGTCAGAGTTGTTAAGCGAATCAGTTAAGTTGTTAAGTTAGTAACAGGATTTTAACTGAATCTGACTTCCCCATTGGCTTTGCTTGTCAGAAGGTTGCAAAAGGGGATCACATGATCCGGGTCATGGCAACTCTCATAAATATGAGCCAGTTGCCAAGCATCTAAATTTTGATCATGTGACCATGGGGATGCTGCAGTGGTTGTAAGTGTGAAAAATCGTCACAAGTCACTTTTTTCAGTGCCGTAACTTCGAACGGTTACTAAATGAACTGTTGTAAGTCAAGGACTACCTGTAGTCCTGAATATAAAACAAGCTATGTTATTTATGTTGCTGTTCTTGATTTGTTTTGTGTATATTGTGTATTTCTCTCTTTTTTTTCTTGAGCATGGTATGCAGTTGACCATGGCTACTTTGCCAGGGAGACATTTAAGTGTATGTTTTGTTCATGTGCATACTTGTGCAAGAATGCAAATGTGTATCTTCGGTCAATTGCATAGACTTTTAAAGGTGCAGTTTCAAGACAATAATTCACATTCTTTTTCTGTTTATTAAAAGTAAAGTGATTTTTCAATAATAAAAATAAAATATACCAAATATTAATTAGTATACCAAAAGCAAGGAAACCTAACATAGGAATAACATAGGAACTATAATAATTATTTCCCAGGAGCAGGCAAAAGTTTAATAGCAAGTCATATTAATAAGCAGTAGTAGGATCAGTTGAAATCTGTGGCACAAATATTGTGATAGCATTAAATTTAGTCTAACAACCTGAATAACACCATGTAAGAGTGTAGACACCCTCTGTGGGGACAGCATTTTGGGGAAAGTGCCCTCTGATGTTGCATAAAAGCAGATGTGGAAAATAGCGTAGGAAAAACCCAGCTGTAAATAATGTTAGAATAAATTATGTCAGGGATGTCAAACTGCCGACCTGTGGGCCGGATGCGTCATGGCGAAACCGCGCCCGCCCCATTGCCGGCAATGGAAAAAAAGTCACGATACGACACGTCACGTGACGTTGCGAGTTTGACACCCCTTATGTATATGGATAGATCTAAAAGAACCTGGAGGATGGGGTCCATCTTTACAGTACATAATAGCAATTTGTTCAGCTCTGGGAAACAGTTTGGCGAACTTTTTTACTTCTTCCTGTAGTCATGAAAGAAAGAACTAGGCCAACAATCCGAATTAGCTCCTCTGATAAATAAAGAACAGAATAATAAATTAAAGAGCTAATACTTGGTAGAACTCT